CCCCCATGACTCCCCCCCTGGATCCGCCCTTGACAACAATCCACAACTTTGAGCGGTTGATGGAGTCCAGGCTTAAATAATACTAACAGAGAATATTTAAATACCTTTTCGCAAGTTGAAAATTCCATTATACATATATCGACAGAGTCTGGTAATAAACGTGCAACTAGAGAGAACCAATTAGAAAAATGAGCCCCAGGACACGTTTTATTAAAACACCATAAACGGAATCACAATAAATATAAATTCTCCTTTTTCTAGATTCGTGGCCGACACGCCATTGTCCCCATTAATAATAATCATCACAAGGTTTCTGGGGTGCGACCCAATTAGACCGTATGCTTTTCCATTATTTGTTTTTATTTATTAGTCCTTTTTGCGATATGCACGACTCCTATGAGAAATTTGGAGAGTTTTTTGGCCCTGCAAATTCATGCGATGGAACCGATCTGGACTGGCAGTTGAAAAATGATACGGGTTTGAAACGGGTTAGAAAGTTATCCAAATCATAATCTGTCGAGAATCTAGCGTTAGATTTATTTTTCAAGCAAGTACTTATTCTAGTTAATATAATTGTGAGTAGATAAACTTTGCGTCAAAAAATATGTGATGTATACTATTATTGTCTTAGAAAACCTTATACAAGATTTTTGATAAATTGATTTTTTAAATTATGTTTATCATCTTGCCAAATTTTATGGTTTACGTCTATAATTGGGTAGACAGAAAATTGCTACAAATATTTTTAAACTTCCTGTAACGAAAATTGTCGTGTTTAATTCCAAACAGACAGCGTCTACTTGAAGACATTACCGTATGTATTTGAAAAATTTAGACAAATGGACGCGACAGTTGTGTTGCGTTGAAATTTAATAAAACTTTTAACAAAGACTCTTTAATATCAATTTCTGATCGACAAAAATCATATAATTGATATTACTTGGAAAGATGCGAGTCCTACAATGTCCGTGAAAGAAAATGAATTTGAAAGTACTAACTCAAAATTTCATATACATAAATATAAATTCATATGGCAAAGATGATTAATTAATTTAATGCGTAAAATGTTCCGCACTCTGGAGTCACGCACTCTGGATGTAAAACCGCCATCCGAAATCCGAATGCTCAGGTATATTCTGATTTATATGGGTTTCAAAGTGAACAAACAAAAGACGAAACAAAAAGTTTTATTTGAAATTGCCTTTTTTATGTGGAAATAGACCGTTTTTATCCGAATCGCGTTCTCACATAAGTCATATTTTATTTAAATATAAATCTGCTACAAAAAGTGGAATAATGCATACATGATAAATGATCCAGAGACGCCCTATAAAGTTTCGCTTATACTCTTTTTAATGAAGACAAATTGAATGCTTGTTGATTGATACCTCCGTGCTGAGTAAGGCAATTTTTTGTGTATCTTAAAATTCTTCACAGAAATGACTATATAACAATTTACATTAATAATATTACAAAAAAGCACATGAAGTCAATAAAATGTGCATAAAAGTGTAGTCAGGTAGGCATAAAGTTCAGTTTGACAATTGCATGTGTAGGTATTTACAAATTAGTCACTTTGTCGAATTAAACCATTCATCATCATTCATGGGGTGCATCAATCAAAAACTGCCCGACACTTTTTTCGTCCATAGCAATTTGGCGTCAGATTATTAGACTCATTTTCCCTCTGTCCTTTTAATTTCCAGGGTGCAAATTGCTTTTATCTCGAATGTTTTAATTCGACGAAGAAGCGTCCGTTAGTGCAAAAATTGTACACAATTAGTTCGGAGAGAGGTATTTTCAGATGTTTCGTTCTCCTTCAGGTGGAAGCTACTTAATTGAGTTGCTTTGAGCAATTTGTCGATCTAACGATGAAGGGAAAAATAAGTTCGAGTTTTTGGTAGAGCTTTGTTAAGAAAGATAAAAGAAACATTCTTTTACGCAAAAAAGTACCTAATTTATTAGGAAAACCACGGCTTAGAACTTTTGAGAAACCTGTGGCAATTTTAAAAATAGGGTCAACTGTTTAGTTATATGAGATGGACCTACACACCACACATTGATCTGGTATTAATTAAGCGTAACTAATTTAAAATCCCACATCCACTTTTTATTATTTTCGTTGTGGACAATTCTGTAAATAGAACATTTTTGAACCAACTGATATGACAATTCATACAGCATGTGAATTTTGCATATTTTATAAAGTTCTAATAAATTACGTAAATTAAAAACTATTCAAATTAGCATTCACATGCTAAATAATCAATAGGAAAACAAAGAAGTTCGTTGGAGTAAGCACAAAAACTTAACGACCATGATTTTTACGATGTATTCTTCTCAAATGGGCATTCCTGGCGATAAATCACTTTAGCATTTCTACATGCATCCAGTATGATAATAAACTGATAAAACCTTGCGTTATATCAAATTCAATTTGTGAACAAAGAAATTATAAAGAATATAAGGTGCGGCTCTAAGATGCGTGCTTCAAGTCTTTTCCAGCTTTCTGATTAAATTATAACCCTTCATTTAGTATTTACACCCTCTAAATGATCCCTGGCGTGATATAAGAAATATGGAGCAGAAGGTTAGTTTCTGTTTAGTAATGTTACTGCTGTTCGTGATCATGTGTGAATGTGTTTTCAGTGGTTAAGAATGTATACTGGAACATTTCCCGGTACGTTCATGTATATTTTATAAACTTTTCTGGTCTATTTTATTTATAATTAATGATCGGATGAAAATAAATTCGCTTTTGAACCTGGGATGTTGAAAATCAAATGGCGTTCCATAAAATATTTCCAAGTTGAAACCTGCTAATTAAACATCCACATTTGGAAACTGTTAGAAAATTCAACAAATATGCATTAATGTAATTAAATGAATTTGCTTAATTAAAAAATATGATGAACTTATTCGTGAATATAAATTGTAATAATGCCGCATATAAAACACGTGTCTAGAAGCTTAAACAGCTGGATTACGGCCGCCGTTTTCCATTTCAATTTCAGTTATGAACGAAAGATTTCCTGAGGATACAGTTTAGTATTCCAATTTTTTAATATGAAATTAATTGCCTCGATATTTGATTCATTAAATCGGTGTTCGTCTGCAGACGAATAAACATTTTATATAAATCCTAGACGATTCAATTTAGCTTCCTGATTCGCAATAACGGTTTTATTTTTTAGAAGAAGGTTGTTTCTCCTCAGCCGTCCGTGGACCGCTTGTCTGTTAAATTTGCAAACGACTCTTTAAAATCCGATTTTTCAAAGTCGACTAGCAATTTCGCTCTCGGCAAGATGCAGCAGCAATCTTTGCAACATCAGCAGGATAGAGTCCAATTTCCAGAACAACCTGTTATAGGTAAGAAAATACATATTTTTTTCATATTTATTTTACTGGCGAAGACCTACGTTATGGAATAAAAAACGTTCACCGACTTTGCACGCACAATATTGCTAATAAGGAAGGCGTTTGCATTTCATTCAATATATATGTTATTTATAGAGTTTTCGTAATTTTAAATATTTTTTATACATATTATAAACTAGACGCTATAAAAATTACGTTCTAATTTATTGCATCAAAATACAATGCTGCAACTGGGCCTAGTTTATTTGTAAACTACTTATTAATAAATAAATACAGTAACAATCAATAATGAGCAATTCACTCATGAAAAAACAAGAACTCAATACCAGTTTTACAAAAGCCATTAAAATTTATATTTTATTTAAACTTTCATGACCATTTGCGTTGGAGAAATTTGGTTATAAAAGCATATTTAATAAATAAAAAATATGCTTTTTATTTTGTTATACAGGGTGATTCAAAATTGGTGTCCGTTCCTGTGGTAATAGAATTATGGAATAATTCGACATTTTCTAGAAGATATTAACAGTTGAAAATCGAATTTTAAATTTGTTATTAAGGATTATTCTGAAATAGTCCCATGTTTAATTGGTAGCCAATTGGAATACTTAAACATTCGAAAAGAAAAAATACGATCTTTGCTCAAATTACAAAACCTTTTTATATTAAAAAAGTCCTCTTCTACAATTTTTTGACGAAAATTCAAAGCGGCAATGATGTTTTTTGTCAATAACAGATAGTTACAGATAGATAGCCTTTGTCAATAATAACAATATCTTGTCAAACTGTGACTTACTTTGAAGCTCCTTTCACGAATTTCGATGAAAATAAATGTCTTTAGTCTGGCAAACATTAGCCATATTATAGATATTGTTTTATTAATTTGAAACTAACACATTTCAACATTTCTTCTATATGAAGTCCATATTCCTAGATACAGTATAAGCAACATGAAAATATTATTTTCAGCTAAACGTTTAATTTATTTGGGCAAATCCCACAGGAAATAAATTTACTGATTATGAACAGGCCAAGTTATTGTCTTGCATCATGAGAATGCTTTGAGGAATCCCAAGAGCATTTAACTTTATCTCTGTCAAAAGCTCTGAAGATGGATGTATAAATATAGTACAAAAGCGGCATGCTTTATTTAATTAAATGCTCTCTTGAAAGTATAGATCCATTTAATTATCACCTTTATTTAACTACACTGTTTAATTTGCTTTTATTTTGTTTACTTCCAGTCAGTTACACGCTCAATATAGAACTCAATTGCGAAAGGGATATAAAGTCAGTAAACTTGGAAAATTGCAGGAAAGATAATATTAAGATAAGGCAATGGCAGACTTCAAGTAACTTCAGATGACCTCTTTAAATGGCACTAACCATATTAATGGATTTAATACAATAATAACAATATTTTAAGAGAATATACTAAATATATGTGTCTTCAATAAATATAAGCTAATTCAAGTTAAAAACCATAGAAATATTTGCAGCAGGTAAAATACTTCCCAACCCTTTCCCAACAATAATCTTCAACATACGACAGTACATAAATATACCGCTCAAATACCAAGCACTGTGTTTTAGTTGCCAATATTGACTAATTCATTTCGAAACTCTAAAGTTCTAACCGCAAGTGTAAAATCAGTAGCAGAATAACAAAAACAATTCCAGTCAGTTAATTTTATCCTCTTACGTGAAAAGGGCCGACCCGAAGGAAAACAAAAACAATTCGACGTTAAAACAATGGGATCGGTGGTTATACAGGGTGACAATGAAGCTTAAAGCACAATGAAGCTTAATACAAAAGCCTTTGTAGCGTCAAAGTGGACGAATCAAATGTCAAACAAAGATAAAACTGAATAGACACTGAACGAAGAGCTGCTCAATTGAGGGAATAATGTTTCAGAAATGGGATATATCAGCAGGGTATTCATTTAAAACAATTTTGTTTCATAAATATAGGGCTTTAGCGATCTACTTTTCAAGAGAGGAAATTCCACATTGGTGAAGTTTAAATATATTTAAGAGAAGTATGAATAAGGGTGCAAAATAATTATTTATTAAAGTGCGTAAAATTTGCTGCCTTAAAGTTTCTTGCCTTGGTTCCATGTTTTCATGATTTCCGAATCAATATTTTCTGCGAATATATTTGTTTCCTTATCGACATCAGTTTCAATGCAAAATAATGTTTTGGCATCGCAATATTACAACCCATTAATTCTTTTTGAACTAAACTAAACCCCATGACAAATTTTGAAAATAATCCGTCTTTAGAATGGGCTGTTTTTCTTCCTAGAAGCTGAACAAGAGCTTCATATATCGTCCCAAAATTAATCCAATCCTAGAAAGCCCTACTATATGTTTTTTATCTGGATTCAATTCTCCCCTAGTTGGTAAAATTGCAAAAAGATCCGAAACGTACGTTTTTACTTAGAGAACATTTTAAGGGTGGGTGATTTATTTATCAATTCGATGCTCTATTTCTTCTCAGATGGCAACGAGTCCGACGAAGACGATTACTCTGCCAGTGTCAACGCCATCATTCAGAGGCGCGCCTCGACGCGCCGCTCTAAAAAACAGAGCCGTAGAGCATCAAGCCCTTTCCTATCCGAAACCCCCGCTCCTGATCGACGTCGTTCCTCTGTATTTACCACCAGTTCAGGAGAGTAAGTATATAGGGTGAACCTTACTATAAAAAAAAATGGGTCGGTGAACTTTTAGTTCGGATATAATAGTAAAAATAGCAAAAATCTAAAATAGGAAAGGTTTATAGCAAAACTGAAAACAATTATAATGGATTTTCCTGCAATTAATATGAAATTTAGAAAATGTAACAAAAGTAA